AACTCCATTAAGCTCAGAACAGTCCTAGTCACAATATTAACACATACAGAAGCTTCCTGATGTTTTAATCATGAAATTTTTTTAAACGGCTATAAGTGCATGTGTGCAATCAAAAATAATGTAACACAACAAAAACACTTCAGTCATTTTATTAAGACAGATAAACAGAGTTATGATTTCTGCTGATGTTCAAGAATGGTTTTAATTCGGTTCTTGGTAGTTTCTTCCTCTACATGAGGAACAAAATTGAAGGAGACTTTAAAAAAATCTCCTCAAAAGATGATCAGATGTGATGGGGATGATTTGTTTTAAGGTTTTACCTTATTCCGCAGCAGGAGCTCAAAAAAACAAAGAAAGCCGAAGACCGTCTCTGTCCATCACTGATCTGGTTGTAATTCACTGAAAAGAAGCAGAGCGGAGAGGTTTGGCTAGAAATCCAAAACTAAGAGGAAAAACAGCATTTAGTTCCACTGTGACGTTGAGATTTAGTTTGTCATGTGTGAGAGCTGACCTTTGCATTCAGGTCTGGTCACAACATCTGCAGATAAATCCTGCATACAGACTTCATGTTACACAAACTGATCGTTTTGAAGAAAGAATGTTAAAAAAAAGTTCCTTAGTGTATTTTAAGTTCCAGTTTATTGTCATTTCACCACATGTGGTACATGAGGTGGAACAAAATTATGTACACACGGTCCCAGTCAGTGGTGTAGTCTGCATTTTTGTGAATATACCGCGGTAAAGTTAGTTTTACATTGGACACCACTGATGCCACGGAGCGTGAATGTCCAATGTAAAAGTAACTTTACTGCTGTGCTTAGAAACCAAAGTATAATGGTTAGTACAATGTAATTGTCTATTTATTTTTAAGCATATTGAACATTTTCAAATTTCTCTGATGCTTATTATTTGAATAAATAAACAACAAACTTTGTACAATAGTTGGCTTTGTATTAAACCATGTTATAATGATGGATGGATGACTTGGATTGGATGCAACTGGGACTCCTAGTTACAGCCAACAACAGCTAAAATATAAAATATAAAAAGAAACGGTGTATAAGGATCTAAGATATACAATACACGCCAAACGAATATCAAACGAGACGCTAAAAAATCCAAGACATACACCAAACATCAATAATGCAAACAATACAGAGTAACAAGAGCAGCTGAACATGAGTCTGTGAGCAGATGGTGCGAATGAACATCTGATAAAGTGAAGTAATCCATCCATCCATCCATTTTCTTTACCCGTTTATTCCATTTTGGGTCACGGGGGTCGCTGGTGCCCATGTCCAGCAATCACTGTGCGAGGGGCGGGGTACACCCTGGACGGGTCGCAAGTCCATCACAGGGCCACATAGAGACAAACGAGACAAACAACCATTCACTCTCTCACTCTCACCTAGGGACAATTTAGAGTTACCAATCAGCCTAACATGCATGTTTTTGGACTGTGGGAGGAAACCGGAGTACCCGGAGAAAACCCACGCATGCACGGAGAGAACATGCAAACTCCACCCAGAAAGTCCCCTGGACCGGGGTTTGAACCAGGGACCTGCTCGCTGAGAGGCAGCAGCTCTACCAGTTGCGCCACCGTGCTGCCCTAAAGTGAAGTAATGTGTGATTAAAATATCAGCCAAGTTTAACAAACATGAGCTTTTTTCAGGGTTTTTTCTGTTTCTCAGGAAGTTTCATTACCTTTGATTTAATTGTGGATGTTCTAAATAAATGCATTTTATTGAACAGTTGCACATAAAGTTTGTTGTTGAAAGACTTTGTTATTGTGACCTGAAAAGAAGAATATTTAGAAATTGTTCAGTTTACTTTTCACTCAAATGTTTGACCTTCAGAGACTTTTTCTTGAGTTGTCACAGGCACTGGGTCTGTCAGTCTCCATGATGTTTTGGTTTAGCCAAACATTTTGGTTTTTAATTCAATTGTTAATTAATTGTTTTTTATCTTTGGCTTGCATTTATTGATTCTTTAACTTTTTATAGTTAATGTTTGTTGTGTTCATGAGTCTAAATCAGAGACAAAAGAAATGAAACGCGTTTTTTTTTTTACTTTCATGATAACATCGTAAATATTTAATCATTAAGATTTTTTTCTTTTTCTTTGCCCTTTTATTACTGATCAAGACCTCAGTATGGAGTACCAGTTATAAAGTCAGACATTAAAAAATGTCACTAACACGTTTTTAATTTTTAGCTCATTTTCCAAATGTAAAATTCTGGCTAATTATTTTATTACAATATTTAACTCACTTTCCTTACTTTCTGAATAGTTTTCTCACATAAACATCTTTTGAGTAGTACAATGAACAGTTATATAGTGGTTCTGCAGTGCTTCGTGGTCTGGTTTGATTATTCATGGTTTATCCAGAAAAATACGTTTTTGTACTTTTGACCAGTCCAGGGTGTGTACATCAAGTCACAACAAAGTTGTCTCAGGCACTTTACAGAAACATTCACATACATAAAAGCCAATTAGTAAA